GACAGAAGCAAAGCCGCCCAGGCGGCAGGGGTCCCGCCGCCTGGGCGGCTTTGCTCCCGGGCAAACGAGCAAAGCCACCCAGGCGGCGGCTTTGCTCGGGTGTCCCTGGTCTGCTGGGGGGGTCCAGCGGCTTTGCTGGACCACCCGAGCAGACCAGGGAGACTGGGAGAAGCTTTTCTCGCCCCGGAGGACACAGGCGGCGACCCGCCGCCCGCGAGCTTCGGGGCGAGAAAAGCCCTGTTCGTAAGTGCAGATCCGATGTAAGTCGGATCCGCATAAGTCGGGGACTGCCTGTATACAGTAATGTAGCCCCATCTTAAGTCTACAGACAAGACTGTCTGAATGACTCTTCTGCTGTTGCTAGCTTTCCTAAATTTCAGCAGCCTAAAGACGGACTTCAGAGGGGTAACCGAGTTAGTCTGTAACTGGAAAAACTTAACAAATAGCCTTAAAGCATCTTAGAGACTAACAAAACATGTAGATGGTATCATGAGCTTTCATAGGCACAACTCACTTCTTCAGATGAATCAAGCTATTAAAAGTCCAGTTTCTAAATAAATAGGCGGTGGTGGTGGAGGAAGGAGAAAAAAGGAAGAAAGAAAAAAAGGGGAAAGAAATAATTTGGATGGTAGGCTACATTCCACATCTTAATGACATAAAAAAAACCAAACAATTGGTACTTAAGAACAATTAGTACCTTTTCTATCAACTTCATGTAGCATGGATGCTCTAATTTACTATATCTTTCCCTTTTTTTCCTCCCCCATCCTCTATTTTTTTAGAAACTGGACCTTTAATAACTCCATTCATTTGAAGTGGGTTGTGCCCATGAAAGCTCATACCACCATCTACATGTTTTGTTAGTCTAGAAGGTGCTACAAGACTATTCATTGTTTTTTAAGTTTTTAAAGATTGACTTGTCAGTTTTAACTGTTGCTTTTCAAAACTCTGGAGGCAGCAGTGAAACTGACAAGAATCAGATCAAATCCATTGTTAGTTGAAAAGACTGAGTAGCAGTGGAGGAAGATGAGTGGAAAATGAGACTGGAGAAGAGCAGCCAAGAGATTCCCCCACAAAACAGGAAATTGGAGGAGGGAGATCGAATATCAGAGAATCCTTCTCAGCATTCTAGCCAGGAAGCTGGGGGGCGGGGAGGGAGGGCGCAGAGGAGAGACTGCTCCTCTCATCTAGTAGCCAGAAAGGAGTGGAGTGAGGCCTTCAAGATTATCCGACATCAATTAGTGTACTACGTGTCAGGTAAAATTTCCAAACTTCCTGTGAGTGGCTGGACATTTAAAAAAAGCGGGAAACCAACTGATTTGATCAGGTTGCTGTGAGAAATATGTAACATGAGAAGAGAAAAAATATGGCAGAGAAATTACAGAACACATAAGGAGATGAGGGGAAACAATGAACTGAACAGAGGACAACTCATAAAAAGGTATAACATTATCTATTACAGGCAGGAAAACTGAAGTAAAGCCAGAAAGGTGAAAAAAGGTGTAACAAAACAAAGGTGTAGGTAAAGTTACTGTTTTTTAAACCAAGTTGATTAACATGTTTTAATTAAATATGTGATTAAATACATAATAAGTATTAATAATTCTTTGTATTAATAAGCATACTAATGTTCACTTTAAATTTTAAGATGGATGGTAGCATATATATTTTTCACTCTGGCAGGAAAAATGAATCTGTACACTAGTAGATGTTGGGTAAAAACACTTGTGCTTTAAGCCTTGGTTTTAAGGATGAACAAAGTCACTTTGCCCAATTGTAAAACGACACAAATACATGTTTCAGACTTCAGCTGCAACTTGAAAGCTCGAGCATAAGCTTCCCCAGCTTCCAATTTAGGTCTGGAAGTGCACACAAGTTTCTTTGAGTTTTGCATCATTATTCCATGATCCTAGTATCACACAGGTTGAGTAAACTATGCATATGTGCAAATCTGGATGGATATTTTTCAAATGTGTTTGAACTGGATTTAAAAACTTAAAAGCCTTAGGTGTGAGGAACATGGCCAGGAAAGCAGTTTGGCCTAACTAGAGTCATGGGCATGGCTAGGCCTGCAGATTAGTTTGGTTTAGCACCAAAGTGGAGTCAAGAATCAGTTGACAGGACATCCAGAGGCATACTTGAGAGCAGAGTATTTCTTTTGGGGCTTTAATTCTGCTAAGTCCTAACAGCTTTTCTATAAATGTCCACAAAAACCAGTGGCTTGCCTAAATTCTAATTCTTATGCTACTGAGTATTAAAAAAAAAGCATCTAGGTTTATGCCTCAAATTATCTTGGACTTTTAGTCATCAAATTATGAACTGATTCACCCACCCATTTTGCACTGCTGTGTACACCTTTAGAATCATAGAATGATAGAGCTGGAAGAGACCTCAGAAGGTCATCAAGTCCAGCCCCCTGCCCAAGGCAGGACCAATCCCAACTAAATCAACCCAGACAGGGCTTTGTCAAACCAAGACGTTAAAACCTCTAGGGATGGAGATTCCACCACCTCTGTCGGTAACCCATTCCAGAACTCTCTTCCACTGTCTCATCTTCCCATAAACTGTATGGATATCCTGTACTGAAACGTATCCATTTTAGCACTACTATACAAACAATGAATTAACCGTCACATCACCCCCATGAATACCAAGTAATATTCACATTTTACTGATAAGGAAGCTGAAGCAGAGTATAAGCAAGTTTACCAAGTTCACACAGGAATCACAGCCAGGAACAGAATCTAAACTCTCAAAAGATAGTCCTATAACATCAATCAGCAAACAATTTTTT